GATGGATGGATGGATGGATGGATGGATGGATGGATGGGGTTGGTGTATAATCTTTTTGGCAAATATAAACCTGCTCCTGATGAACTTCCAGATTAAACTTTGTACAGTTAAAGTCAACAGTTGTTACAGTTTCCAGAAGTCAGTGATAAATGCTTTGACTCACACAGTTGTTTCAAGTTGGGGTCACTATGAGGTCAACATCACCCTTCACTTTTCCCTTATCCATCGTATCATATTTCTCCTTTTTAGCCTGTTTTAAGTTTATAGTCTCAGAAATGCATTCACAGCATTGTTGCCTACCACTATGCCCACTTCCATGCAACGTCTTTCCTTCTACTGGTCAAATAATCAAATGAACTAGAAAAGGGGTGGAGTACAGGCAGTAGAATTGCTACTGGATAAAGTCATATAGCAAATGCAATTCTTTTTGAGAACACAGGTTTTTTTTTTCTAAGTAGATGGAAGTAGGGCAGGGTGTGGGGTGTAAGAGTTCCTTAAAGGCTACACTGCACATCTGCACTGTGCAGCAGAGGACACACCACTAACAGGAACCAGATTGGCTTTATTGCAAGGTCACGTACTACAATCAGCAGTTAGGCTTGCTCACGCCAAAAGATTAAATTCTGTGTCATACAAGACGTATTCTTACGTCGTTGGATGTATGGGAAAATGGCAAAAGGAGTGGTGTACAAAGATTTCACAAGAATACTGATTTTAATTACAGATTGAGTTTGAAAACAAAGTATTAGCTTAAAGGTCAGGAAACACATTTGTTAGCTGGTCGTATTCACCTGCTGTGAATAATCACTACATGTGGAATGTTTGCACAAATGTCCATGAGACTGTACATTAATCATTACAACACTGACATTCCACTGTAAAACTGAGACAGTTCATGATGCTTCAGCAGCTGCTGGGCTTTTCTGACACTTTCTTAGCTGTGGTTGGTCATGCCTCATGTCACAACTATTGCAAACTCATAAAAAACATCTGCTGTTTGGGACCATGGTGAATTATAATGAAACTAGTTTAATACTATTGTCATTATCATCGTGTTACTGATATGAAACTCACGGCTTCTTTCTTACGTACACCTTGCTGGTACCAGCTTCTTTCTACCTTTTGCCTTCAGAACTGTTAATTTTTCGTGGCATAGATTCAACAAGGTCCTTGAAACATTCCTTTTGGTCCATATTGACAAGATACTATCACACTGCTGCACGTGCATGGTGTTAATCATCTGCTCCACCACTACCTAACGGTGCTCTATTGGATTGAGATCTGGTGACTGTGGACACAACTCGAGTACAATGAACTCAATGTCATGTTCAAGAAACTATTTTGAGATTATTTGAAATTTGTGACATTGACCACAGTGGTTTATAGGAATGGACATGGTCAGCAACAATACTCAGGTAGGCTGTGGTATTCAAGTTGTACTCAGTTGGTTCTAATGAGCCTAAATTGTGCCAAAACAGACGTCCTTACACAACATTTACGATCAAACACTGATCATAACATTATGACCACGTGCCTAATATTGTGGCAGTCCCTCTTTTGCTATCAAAACAAGCCTAAAACATTGAAGCATGGACTTCACTAGACCCTGAACATGTGCTGTGGTATCTGGCACTAAGAAGTTAGCAACAGATCCTGTAAGTCCTGTAAGTTGTGGGGCCTCCATGAATTGGACTTGCTTGTTCACCACATTGCCCAGATATTTGATTGGATTGAGAGCTGTGGAATTTGGTCAACACTTCAGGTTGTTGTGCTTCTTTTGTCTTTGTGACAGGGCATATTCATCCTGCTGGAAGAGGCCACAGCTGTCAGGGAATTCAGCTTCCATGAAAGGATGCACATGGTCTCTAACAACGTTTAGGTAGATGGTATGTGTCAAAGTAACATCCAGGTGAATGGCAGGACCCAAGCTTTTCCAGTAGGACAACTTCCATTTCTCTGTGGTCCAGATCCAGAGGGGAAGGGATAGCTCAGTAGGTAAAAGCAGTTGCCCCATTATCGGAAGGTCAGGGGTTCGAATCCCCTGAACGGCTACCCTGAGGTACCCCTGAGCAAGGCACCATCCTCGGGTGCTGCACTGGTGGCTGCCCACTGCTTCACTGAGTGAATGGGTTAAATGCAGAGAAGAATTTCCCCACAGGGATCAATAAAAGTGTACATTATTATTATTATCCCTATGCAGCCTCATACCCAAGAAAGTGCAGTGTGTATTCTGATAATGTCTACCACAACCAGCATGAACTTTTTCAGCAGTTTGTGTAACAGTAGCTCATCAGTTGGATCAGAGCATACTGGCCTTCACTCGCCATGTTCCTCACAGTTTCATTAACCAAAGCATTGGACCCATTGACCTGAGGAACATCTAATGAAGATTTTACCAGTCACCCCAAGGAAGCCTACAACTGTGCACAACAAATTTCACTGTTTTCACTAAAAATTAAAAAAACTCTAAGGGTGGGGGGATGATTTTTATCAGATAAAATCACAATATTTTACAATATACTTTAAATGAATAATAATGCTTATTTGGAATGATTCAGCAATTCCTGTAATGGATCTAAGTTGTGAACTTCCGTGGGTATTTGTTGCACTAAGCAATTTGTGGTTAAAATACAGCTGTTCCCACTCATATGTGGCCACCAGCAGTGCAGTTTAAGCATTTAATCCCCCCTGGTTTCCAGTCACAAACAAGTCCCAAAGCATGAGACAGGAGGTGGGGCCCCACCAGTATCAGACCATGATCTCATAAGAAAGGAAGTGAGATGTGCTAAATGTTCCTAACATTAACTTTATGAAGTCCTGCTGACCAGCAAGTGGAAACAATAGGAGTGGATTTACACCCCGACGACTGACAGTTTATATGTGAGCATATGTGAACAACTCCCCTGTTGTTGGATCTGTGCGCATCCAATATACAACTTTTGCTCACACTGTGGTCTTAAAGCTTTATAAACCTTGTGTGTGTTACAGGATTATTCTGCTGGAAACACACTAAATTGATAGAAAAGTGTTTTACATTGGAAGAGATAATTGCAGAGCAGGGAAGAGCGCGCATTTTTGAGACTTTGTCAATCACCATGACAGAACTGCCAGATTTTTTTTTCTTTTTACAGACAAACACCCTCTTTGAACTGATTGTAATTATTTCAGTGTTTCAGAGATTCTTTGCAATAGGCTGCCATACTGAATATTTAAGGATACTTGACAGTTGTCTGAGTACCAGCCACCAGTGACCCTGTTACCCTGTCGTGCTTAACACGGATAATAAATCTTTCAGTTCAATAACAGAGTGCATGCAGATACCAAGTCATGCAGATTTTTTTTTCCCCTCAATGAAATAAAGATACTCACAAACACACACTATATTAGCCATCCATATTTAATAAAATTATGTTGCCATATGGAAGCACTCTATAAAAAGAGTGCTTTTCCTTACTTTTTTTCAATTTACCATTCAAGCAAAACACAAAGTGGTTTTGTAAATCATGCAGTTAATTTATCCCTCATCACGGAATTTGGCTGTGAAGAAATTGGTATTTTTTTAACTGCTCTCCGGATCAAAAGATCATGGGAAGACTAAAACACAATACTTATACACACTCATTTATGAAATATCAGTCGATTTTTAACTCCTTTCACACAAATAGTGTTTGTACAGTGAAAGAATGTGTGAGAAGAGCTGGATTATATGAATAAGTTACCTGACACAGAGGAGTAATCAAAGAAAACTAGCACAAAATCCTCTTTGTGACGGCTAAAGTTCACTCTTTGTGTTGAAGACAGGGGGATTCCCCAACAATGCTCTCAACTTCAAACATTTATTGACTCAGTCAGTACACCTGTCTGAAGTTCAGCCCCAGCTTTCATCTGAGCAAATCCTTCACACTGCTGATTTCACTCACAGATGTCAGAGGGCTCAGCTGAAGGCACTAATTGCACTGAGAAGGACAGTGAGACCTCTAACAGTCATTAGATAAAGGGCGACAAAAGACAGAATAAAACTTTATATAAAATCCTGGAAGAGCCTCCTTCATTTCCTTTCAAGCCCCGGCGATCTGTCGAGTTCTACATCTGAAGATCATACTTCAGGTAGATATCATGAACATATGCACTCATGCCAGCTGTGAACTTACCAGGCTCCAAAGTAGGAATGTGCACGATTTACAACAACATCAGAATAAATGAATGCATCAAGATAAAAGAGCCCAAGAGCCAAAAAAACGAGTTTAACTGGGTGACATGTTAACCAGACGTCAGTTTGCGTGATGATATAAATATGAAGCCAGGATCAGTCTTTTTTCTCATTAATCTGCGTGATTGATGCCGCTTTGTTGTGCCATTACCCTGTGGACTCCATTGACTACAGGCTTTTATGAATACGTCACATCCTGCACAAGTATAAGGCAAGCTGCATCTCCATGAACTGCTTCCACCAACGATGCATCACCTAATCATCTTATCACTCCCCAAAAGACTAAAAATGGGGCAAAAGAGTAGGTATGTTTGGGATAATGTGGGACACTGTCTGAAACGTTAACAGATTTAACTTGAAAAGTAAAGAAATGGAGGCAGAGGACAAATACAGTGCATTGTATTTTACTTGGATGCAAACTTTTTATAAGCTGAAATAGAAGCTCAAGCTTGTTTTATGATAATGAGATAAGTGATAAGTCTATCATACATATGGGAAGTTGAAATGATCATGAAATAATGATAGGAATTATATAAGTACACTGAGCTCGCCACAACTGAATGGCAGATACTTGTTTACCTGTGTATTCCATTTATCTATCAGACAAGCTGCTGAGAGTCGTGACTGTCATTCAGACCCGAGTCTGTCTGGTGATCAGTTCTGGGCTTCAGCAGGCAGATTTTTGTAAACTAATGACGATCATTGTTGTCTCAATATGTGTCTTTGGTCAAGCTCTGTAGCAGAGAATGCTGGAAGTTCTCATCACACGACTCGGGGATCAAAAATTCCAGCAGCAGGTCACAGATGCAGTAAAGCAGATGCCTGCAGAAAAACACAGATGTAGGAAAAAGACATCAGGAAAATGACATTCTTAGATTGATGATATAATAGTATAAATATGAAAGGTAAGAGGAGTTTGCAGTTCTATCTGAAACATTAACATTCTGGTTGTACTGTTTAGTGATAATCAGAGACCAGCACTGATACAGTTTCTGTTTCTTGTTAGCTTGCTGTTTGGTTGCTGACTCACTTGTTTATCTGGTGGTCCTGCAAAGACTCCAGCATAGTCTCCAAACTCAGTCTGTACTTCTCATTACCCAGCATGTCAGTGATGAGCTCTGCTCAGACACAAACAGTGAAACATACTGTCAGAAGCTATGAAAATCAGGGCAGCATTTAACAGCAGTATTCTGATTTGAACAGCTGTTATTCACCTGGGAGCAGCTGCATCAGGCAGTCCAAACATTGCTCCTTTGTTTTCTCCTTTTGTGCAGCACTTCGCTCAGGCTGTGGTTGAGCAGGCAGAGTGCCACCAGGCCATACAGCTTCCTGCAGCACTTGTAGGTAAATCACCCAGCAAGGAGCACTGGTAAGGTGGGCGACACCTACATCCAACCATCTGACACAGAAATCAGTTCAATACTTTAGTGAGTGCGTCCATGTTCAGGACATGTGCCAATGTGTCAAACAGACAGATGGGGAATTAAATGCAAGCTCATGAAAAAGCGTGCTTTAAGCAATTACAGGAGAATGCAAAACATGAACCTTAAGCCAGAAGTGAGGTCCCAGAGGCAGATATCAAGCCAAAAGTTGTGACCAGTATGACCATTTAATGATAGCTTAACATTAGGGGTAGGAAAAGCCCATTTCCCACACACCATGTGGTAAAGTGGGTCCAGTAGTTATTTAGTTTAGCAAGTAAAGCACAAAAACCCATAACATTTATGTGTGTGTGCTAAAAAACTCCTGAAAGACAATCGGAGAGAAGATCGTGCACCATTAAAATCCAACTAACCACCACTAACCTGTCCTTGTGCCCTCTAGATCTGGCTGAATGAAGGAAAAATAAATGACTGTAAATATGTCACCTGCTCACAAAATAGACACCATAGCCAACTGTTGAGGCCTTGCTGTGATTTATTGTAATGAATAAAAATTCAATATTTTTTCCTGGAATGTAAATAACAGAATGACAGTACAAAGACTGCGAACAACCAAAAGGACATCACACAAACTATGGCAGAGAGTAGACAAACACCAGAAAAGTCCTCTAGCAGAGTCACCTGAGGTATAAGTTTTATCAAGTTGAAGTTTCGTGTTCCAGGTAGAGAGTGTCCGTCTCCTGATCCCTAACTGGGAGCTGGTTCCACAGGAGAAGAGCCTGATAGTCGAAGGCTCAGCCTCCCATTCTACTTTAAGAAACTCTACCCATACATATGATGATCATTCAGGACTTTCTATTCAAAGAGAAGAATTTTGAATTAAGTTGTGGTTTTAACAGGCAGCAAATCAAGAGAAGCTGATATGTTAGCACTCTCACTGTGGCCTTTGAACTGAAGGTTTTTCAGGGAGATTTTACCTGTTTACAGTAACCCACTCTAGAAGTAACAATCTCAAAGTCATTTTTCTGTCTCACTCTCACAGGATGTTTCTAAATTTGACAATATTGCTCAGATGAAGTGAAACAGTCCTAGAGATTTGTTTAATGTGTGAGTTGAGTGACATATCCTGTTCAGAAATGGCTCCAAGATTCGTCACAGTGTTACTCGAGGCCAAGGTAATGCCATCAAGATAAAGTATTTGATTATACGCCATGTATCTGATATTTTAGAGAGAAATAACATAATCATTTCAGTTTTGTCTGGGTTTAGAAGTAGAAAATGACAGGGCATCTGGTACTTTAAGACTTGCCTGTAGTTTTACTAATTGCTATGAGTCATCTGGCTTATTATCACAGGCCGTCCCAAGGTGTCAGAAGTTATTCGCCCATTGTGTAAGTCAGGGGTGTCAAATTCAAATACACAGTGGGCCAAAATTCAAAACTGGAACAAAGTCGCGGGCTAACATTAATATTTATTGAAAAAAAAATCTTCCTCCAGATATAAGAATGAATCTTTTCTTATGGACTCAAATAAGTTTTGCTGGAAAACTGAATATGGAACAAGCAAAGCTTAATACTAAACAATATATATATATTAGCTGTATAATACCAGTAGGCCAGCTCTAATAGTAATTTGGTATGGCTTCGCGGGCCAAATGTAATTAGGCTGCGGGCCAAATTTGGCCCGCCGGCCAGAGTTTGACACCTATGACTTATGGCAAAGTTACAGTCTCAATGTTATTCTTTATTTTTTCTCAGTGTCTTCTTGAGGAACAGTATGTGTATATGTGTACGTGATATTAAATGAATGTTTAAGTGCAGGTTATTGTGCAGACTCAGCACAGAGCATCAAAGAGTTGATTTGTAGTGTGTCACATCAGTGTGGTGGCAGCTGTCCTGGCAGCCATTTTTGGAATTCCATAAGATACTATGATTCATATCAGTATGTCACACATAAACACATTGTATTGAAGGACACAAAAACAGAATCTTATGAGAATTATAAGATTCTGCTAACATTCTGTCCACATTTGATAACCTGCTTACGATGTGAAATCATCATCAATGTGTGTGGGCAAAACAGAAGCAACTTTGGATTTCTAACTACAAATCCATTCTCTCTTGTTTCTTTTTGTCTTTATTCCACTCTAAAAGTTGGATGTAACAGTGAGACCAAATTCACAACCCAATAAAAACAGATCCAGGTACATTTACTGCAATATTCAAACTGAATACAGGCTGCTGGCCATTGACATGTAGTATCCTTTTGACTTGAAGTCACCTGGAACTGTAGCTGTGCTGTAAACAAATAATGAAGCACAGTTTGACCAGAATAAGAACTAGAATCTTTAACACACTAAGACAATAAAATATTAATGACAAACCAGTGGTAGAAGCATCATAACATCAAGAAAACTGGACAGTTAAAGGATTTTTCTTTTTACATAAAAAAGAAAAAAAATGTTTGATGATTTGAAATGTTTAAGTGTGACAAACATACAAATAACCCATTGTGGACCACTAAAATGTTGTATACTATGTAGTATATACCTTATTTACTTTATTTATTAAATTTTGGGTTTTTGTTTTTTTGCACTACATTAGACGTTGTCAAAAATAACAATAGCGTTGGCATTTTTGTTATTTGTGTTTTGTAATCTTTATAAAAAACTAGTAAAAAACCACCTCTTAATCTTTGGTATATGGCGAGGCGCTGTGGACATCCAAGTTTGTGATTGTGTAGATTTTTCAAATCAATACCATGGTTGCATCTACTGAAAATCTCTGTGAAGCTTAAATCTCAGTGACCTTGACTTCAAGGTCAGACGTCAACTTTTCTGAAAATCGGAGGCGTTTCACATTTATAACACAGGTATGTCTACTAGGAGGCTGAAGGGTAGCACTATATACTTATAAACAATCAAAAACAACAATTTATTTCCAATTTGTACGGAACTTATTTCTGTAAACATGGTGTTTTAGGTCGGATTAAAGGACTGATGTGATGGTAAGGTGTCCGCTGCTCTGCTTTGAATATTGGTAGGCTTTTTTTTTTTTCACAAGAATTGCTACTTCCCCTAGAGTTTTGGCCACACCAGCAATCAGAAGATTCCCTATGAGAAAGCATTTAGCGACAGTGGGAAGGAAAAACTCACTTTAAAAAGGAAGAAACCTTCGACAGAACCAGGCTCAGGAAGGGACAGTCATCTGCCGCGACTGGTTGGGGTGGGGGGAGTGAATTAAAAAAAAAAAAAAGCCAAAGTGATAATTATTGGAGCAGCTTAATTAATATTTCCAGTATAATTTGCTGTTAATATCCTTTTCCAACCCCAGTTTGTGTTTTTATCACTTTTGTCCAGGGTGGAAGATGCCATGCTGGAGATTGACTCTGTATGGTTTTTCAGTGTTGATACTTGGGAACCTGTTGGAGAGGCCAGGGTTGAAAAAGGGATGCCGGAGAACCTGAGAGGGTGTTATCCGCTGGTGTGCATCCAAGGCCAACATCTCTTTAATTAGGCTGACAAATAAGCGTTGGCCATCTTCTGGTCCTCGTCTAAACAGCATTATTTGTTCGAGGTCATCCAGACGTGTCAGTTTTATGTATCTTGTCTCCAAAGATTCATATCCTGTCTCGTATTTAAATTGTTGGGCGGTCTTAAATGTCCAGCGTTGTTGGTTGTAGTTGTCTTTTGTGAAATAGTCTTCAGTGTACACGCCAGGATCGAGAACATGATCTGGCGGCTGACCCTGAGTCTCTATGATGAATTTCAAAACATCATAATATTTTTTTCCAGGGTAGAGTGGCACCCCTGTAACAAGCTCAACAGCCACCAGCTCCAGAGACCACATGTCACTTGCTTCGTTATAAGGAAGGCCAAGCATAACCTCAGGTGCACTATAACCAACTGTCCCCACACGGTCACCAGGCATCACTGCAGACGCAGGACATGCGAGGCCAAAGTCTATAAGTCTGACTTTGACTGGAGACTCATAGCGATTTACAACCATGATGTTTCCAGGTTTGAGGTCAGCGTGCACTATTCCCACAGAACCCAGGTGGGACAGGGCATTTGTGAGTTGACCTAAAATTGGCCTGACTTCGCTTATGGAGAGACGCCGATTATTCGGGTCCCGTGTGTAGTCCCACAGGCATTGGTCTAGGAGTTCAAATTTCAGGCAAACACGCTCTCCATCGTGGAAAAAGCCGTTCCATTGAACAATGTTGGCGGCATCTGGATCCAACCTTCTCAGCTGCTCCAGGATGAAAATTTCCAGTTTTGCCTGTTGCAGAATATCAGGGTCGTTCTTGTTCACCTTAATAGCCACAGCTCGGTTGGTTTTGGTATCACGGCATTTGGCTACAATACCATAGCCCCCTTCTCCGAGGAAAGCCTCTACCTTGTAGTGGTTTCCCAAAATGCTCCCTTTAACTATTCCAAGCTCATTTGAGCGGAAGGATGGGTTAGCAATGACTTATGGCATAAGTCATTGTTGATTTTGTCTTCACTCCTGATTTACTTACAGTGCAAGTAAATTGCACAACAGTTCACAAACAGCTGCAGATGCGGAGGAACTCTTACCTCTCGATGAAAGTCCCGAAGAGCAGTCTGATGGCCTTCTGGATGTTCTCAGTGCACAGCCAACTCCACTGATCCTTCATCAGCAAACACAAGATGTTCAAAGCGACATCAGCCACAGCTGTGTCTGCAGCGCGCGCGCACACACACACACACACACACACACACACACACACACACACACACACACACACACACACACAAACCCCCATTAATTATACATTAATTATACATTTATTTCAGCACAAGGATGGGAATCTTCACAAATGAATTTAAAAAATATTTGACTACTTGTAAAGGCAGAACACACCATTAGTGGTAGTGGGCAAAAACATGGAGTTACCTTTGTGTTGTTAATAAACAATCAACCAAAAATTTTTTAATGAGAAATATCTATTAATAGATGCTGAGGTCAAGATTTTCCACTGCAAGTAAAAAAAACCATTCTTACTAAATGTGGATTCAAAAAGTCTCCAAAATGTGTTTGTGCCCTATTGCTGCAAATCGTCTACTGCTCAGCTAAAGCCACCACAGACATTGGGTTTTGCTGCACCCATGTGGTAAAACTGTGTCAGTGCATCTTGCCAATGTGGATAAATCTACTTCAGACAAACTCAACCTGTGCCGTGAGTTTTCCCTGAAGTCTTCTTTACATCTTGCTCACACCTCTGCTTGTTCTCTTTCCCATTCAGTCCACATAACAGTGTTTCCTGCTCACCAACAAAATTCTCGAGGTGGGACAGTGACATGCCATTGAGGACCTAGAAAATCAGAATAAGCAAATGATTTCTGAAGAAAATGTCAGCGCTCTCTCACATTAGTCTGAAACATGTTTGTGTTGATAGTTCATGAGGAATAATAACTTACAGTGCTGCCTTCACTGAAGCAGTATGTCACTTTAGGATGTAGATCAGGAATGTTGGGTATATTGAAGGCTGGGGAGATTTTGCTTGGGAAAAGCCTCCTGAAGCACAGAACACAAAACAGGAATCCCCGTGTTACAAAAATAAGTGAATTAAATCCAACATGAAAGAAGCTGAGAATTAACTCACCGAATTGATAATAAGGAAGCAAAGTAGATTTGAATGTGTGTGAAGACTGGTATCAGGCAGATAGAGCTCTTACCTGTATTTTCTGTTGTCCATTGTTCTTCCATCAGGATCTCCATCAATGTCCTCTGTTGGGCTGAGGGGTTCTGGATGTGGGAAAGCTGTCTTCAAAGTGTCCAAAGCATTTTCCATCATCTTTCAATCAATCAAACATATGTGAGATAATTAAATTCAAGTTGTAGAAAAAAGAAAGAAAAAGCATCCAGTTTTTGTCTCATTCTGAACATGATTAGCTTCTTGAGTATTTATTCTTCTCTATTTTGTGCGTTCTTGAGTATTACAATGTGGAATTTCTTTACACATTTTCACAAAAGGTCCAACTCCATGCTCAAGAACAAGGCATAAAACTTCTTACTTAACTCTCGCAGGGGAGTAATGGAGTAAATTTCACAAAATGCAACTACTTATTGGTTTAATTTTCTGTTAGCTTGTTCCTACCTTATCAATTCTTGACTTGGCAAAAGGTTTTCTTCCAAAATATGTACAGACACCTGAATTGAGAGCTAGGAACTCCTGCATGTCTTCGTTGTTGGCTATCTCAGGAATGCTGCTTAATTGCTAGAAAACAATAAAAATTATACCACAAGAACAAACGTCAGAACCCTGCAAATGCAAAAGTTATAATCCCAATGCTTACTTTTAGGAAGGCATCCAGCTGGCTTTTACGCACTTCAACCTTCTCACCGTCTGGACTGCTGAATGAGAGATCAGGGAAAATCCTCTTTGGGCCCTTGACATCTGAAATGCAATAAATAAATAAACGTGGCATCTCTTCTTGGACTACTAGGGTTTGGTGATGTCTTAAAGCAGAGGACGATGTCTTACTCTTGATTAATTTCTTCATTTCGGGCTTCTCCTCTAATCGTGTCTGCAAGTTGAGGAACTCGCTGTATCTGCGATTGACAGCGTGACAGGCCGCATGCTGTGGAGTGGCGCTGCCATCACTGGTCGCTGTCTGAAACTGTTAAACAGAAAGAGGGGTGCAGTATGCAATCATCAATAATCCAATTTCATAAGACAGCTTCATTGTACCAGGCTGTGACATGACTGTACCTTTACAGTGTAAAGAATATAGGGATGTATGCCGGTGCCACGCTGGTCTTTTGCGGTGACGGTGCCACCAATTCTAACATTCTGGATGTTCACAGGTGCCACTGCATTGCTGGGGGAATCCAAGTTATAAGAGGGTAAACAAAGCTTTCTTCTAGGGCAACCTGGAGATTTCTCTTCAGCTATGCCTGCTGGCCACTGGGAGTCCACCGGCACCACCACCTTCTGTCCTAGATTTCTCAGTGGACCGAAGCATCCATAGGCTTCAACATCTTTAGAAGTGAGCATGCTGCAGAAGTTATTTGAAGGACCACACTCGCAAAATCCTCCTTTCAGATCATCATCCGAGTCAGACTGAGTTAGCGAGTCCAGTGAAATTATTTTGGACTCTGACGAGTTGGAGTGATGGGCAGATGTAAGCGGACAGCAGTTCACTTTGTATGATGTGAGCAGACCTGGGCGGCAGCTTTGAAATTTCCCAGCTGACGCCAAGCTAACCATGCTGCTCAGTGAGGACTCAGTCTGCTCCGTCGTGCTCCGGCTCTCATTCAGGTCATCAAGGTCAGAGGCGCTTTTGCTGGCGAGACCAGCTTGATCGGAAGAAGACAGTGACATGCAGGTGGCCCAGGACTCCTGGTCGATCTGACATTTGTATAGGGGATCTACTGGGAGGTCATCCACGTTGATTTCCTGGTGTGGTTCTCTGCATCTGGTAAGTATGTCTACAATGGTCTGGTTGAGCCAGTCAGGATCGGATATCCTGGTTATGAGCGGTAGCAGCACGTTGCAGGTAATAAGTTCTGTAACCATGTAACCTCCTGTCCTGGTTTCCATCTGTGGGTATGGAACCAGCACGTGTAGTACAAGGTGAACTAGAGCTCTGGAGTAGCTGAGCTCAGCAGCTTTGCTGCTCACAGCTGGATGAGGGGTGTCTACTTCACTGTAGAGCTGCCAGAGGCTCATGCTTCCCTTTTGTGTTGACTGTATCTGTCTTACTGTCATGTAGTTCTGCAGGTGACCCCCGTACACCTCCAGCAACCGCTGAACCAAGGCTTTTCTGTCCACTTGCCGGGCACGCTCCTTCAGTTCCATCACTGACTCCAGCATCGAATTACGCACCGCACGCTCAAACTCGCCCTCCACCTCGGGCAGTAGAGTGCGATACCACGAGGACACAAAGTCACGCACTGCTTTGTGGACAGCGCTGTGGATCTCATGGTTCAATCTCCACTCGTGCTCAGGTGAATACTGAGGTGGGTTAATGTTGCCAAGAGGCAAGAAGTGCTCCAGGTGGAGAACGCTGTTGGCATCCAGCAGAGCCCGTGACCCAAGCCAACCTCCGAGAACTACCAGGAGACTGGTGAAGACACAAAGGAGCCAAACATTAACAAGAAGGTGGAAGAGGACGAGCCACACCAGCAGAACTCCGACCCCCAACAGCTTCCCCTGCCCAAGAAAATCCAATAAAGACATTATGATCGGCAGTGGAGATTTGTCCTGTTGAAAAAAAAAATGCATATACTGTTAAATAACAAGCAATAAGAACATTATAGTAATGACTAAATTTCAGTATACCGGTAACTGTTTAATGCAGGGGCGGGGGAACTCCAGGCGTTAAGGGCCGAAGTCCTGCAGGTTTTAGATGTGTCCTCCATCCAACACAGCTGATTTAAATGGCTAAATTACTTCCTCAACATGTCTTTAAATTCTCCAGAGGGTTGCCAATGAACTAATCATTTGATTCAGGTGTGTTGACCCAGGGTGAGATCTAAAACCTGCAGGACACCAGCATTTAAGGCCTGGAGTTCCCCATCCCTGGTTTAATGGCTTCAATTCTCACATGATAAAGCCAGCCAGCTACAACTCTCACTCAGATCTATGTTTACACAGTGTTTGTGTCTATGATGGGGCTTTTGCATATCCCTTTATAGGCCTTCCATTAACAAATATATGCATTATAATGTAATCTATTTCCCTCAAGTTTTATTTTACAAATTTCCTTTTTTCATTTGAGACTTTTTTGTAAATTAAAATCTAAAAAGAGAAAAAAGAAAAGAACTAGGAAGCCTCCACAAAGATAAGCATCTAAATCCTCATAATTAAAACGGTAAAACCGGAATATGCAGGGAATTAGAACAATAATTTAGCATTTTTTTAAGGTGATGTTTTTCTTTGTGTTTTTATAGAAAATTAATAAAACACCACACCTGATATGACATAGGCAGAAGTTGTGTTGCGTTTACTGTAAATGGCCCACAGAATTTGGAGGATGTGTGATTTAATTCAACTGACCATTATACATGTTAAAATTTAAATGGCTTGCAGTGCTGTACTGGATTCAAAACACTGACCCAACAAAATTACAGTTCCAGCAAAATCCCTTCTACTGAGAGACTGTTTTATATTTACTGCCTTCATGAGAATAATAAAAAATGATCAGATAACGTCCGAAGTCATTTGGAAGCAAAAGGTCCATATGACAGCTATAAACCTATTATGTTGTTTGTATGGAGTATAATGTTCTACTCCATTAACTGCCCCGTGACAATGTAATTATGCTTGAATGCACCATCTGTTACAGTATCATGTCAGGGGACTTTCTTCCATGTCAACAGTAAATTGATATAAACTTTAATGGCCAGCGAGTATTGCCTGTTGTTGAACTTTTTTCTGCTTTCTATATTTCGCATAACAGTCAAACCTCGAGAGAAATCCAGGGCGTGTTTACAAAAGTACTGTGGGCTAGCAGCAGCTGAGGTCAGAGCAGAGGTCAGTGAAGCTCACCTATTATATGCAGCTAGCCCGTAGCCTACTGACAGTGGATTTCTATTAGTTTAGGCTATGAAGCAGAAAAACACACATTACCTGAAAGGTTAAAGGACTCTCTTTGGACAAATGCAGGTCGTGTTGAATGTCTTCCTGCTCCGGTCTTAATCCTCCAACAAAGATTATCTGGATAGACGCACAGAGCCCATATGGACAGCTCTCTGGCTGCTGGTTGTCTACTTGAGACAGTTAAAGAGCAATACAGTCATCTATGTGCAGCTGAAAACAAATGCTAGCGATAAGTATGCAGATTTTAGAGAATAAAACTATGTGACCATAAATAAATGAACAGACACAAAACAAGCATACAAATGATACACATTTAAGTGCTAGTAGCTAAATCAGCATAAGTTAAATTCCTTTACTCCATTTTTACAGTTCTGCACACTTAAATATTTTAAATTTATTATCTCTACATTTCTTCTTGATTTAATTGCGTACTTCTGTGTTTTCACCAGTGTTTTCTGCAGAGTAATGAGAGTGATCTGTTTTACAAGTTGACCAAAAACTATATATATAATGTTATGGATACACATAAATGTAGGAATAAAGTGATCGGCAACCCATAACTGTAAAGTAAAGTTTTGGAGTCCTGATTCATATATTCTATATTGTTCTTATTGGTGTATATTAAAGCAATATATTAGTCATGGGAGACATGGGGGGGGGTGATGCAGTAAGCACTTTCTTTGTCTGAGCTCCTTAAAACAGAATTTTTATGTAATAAAAACATCAAGGCTTTAGTCCTTAGCCCTTGACCTTCAGGGGGAGTTGCGCTCTCTGAGTGGTCTTATTTTATGTTTATTATCCTCAATAGCCAACGATATTCTATTACACCTACACTATGTTTTGAATGAGTAGAGGCAAACCTTAACTTGGAGAACAGTTAAGATAAATTGCATTAGCATAGATGCTACTGCCATAGTTTGTCAGTTGCTTGCTGCTAAAAGCATTTGGAGGTAAATAAGTTGTCTAAAGTGCTCCTAAAAAGTACTAAGACATTTATCTCTCTTCTACTCATATCTTGGTTGTGCAATATTTAGTGATTTCCCTTCCTGTTTCCTTTAACTCTTTCCCATGGGTAGTCCTTTAGTGTCTCCCTGTAAAGTCAGTCATGTCTGTTTGTTTAATTTTCTTTATGTCAGCTTTGTCTTTGTCTCTGCCTCTTGTTTTATTTTAGTAGCTCCTGTCTTTTGTGCACTATGTTCAGTTTTGCTTCCCCCCTCTCTTACTCTTAATTTGTCCCCGCTGTGTCCTCAGCTGTCTCCACCAGAGATGGGCAGTAACGCGTTACTGTAATCTGATTACTTTTTTCAAGTAACGAGTAAAGTAGGGATTACTATTCAAAAACGGTAATTAGATTACCGTTACTTTCCCGTAGTAACGCTGCGTTACTAAAACCGTGATTTTTTTGCAAGAATGTCTGACAGTGACATAAGTGAGTGCGCTGTTAGTGACAACAGCTGTGTGCAGAGCAACAACTGATCACAAATTGATTGTGGGAGAGAGTATGAGCGTGCAGCGTTTAAAGCGTGGAAGTACTGACCTTACTTTGAGTTTGATTCCATAAAAAGTGACAAAAACATTAGTGTCCATCGTGTGTGGGATGAAAACTTCTTTTTACAGCGAAAAAAAACCCTAAACTTCCAAGCAAGCACGAGTGCGCAACCAGGTAATGGGAAATTCACAGAGAAACTGGCGGATTCTTCAACTGACCTGCACCAGGGTAAACCTCCGCCTACCCTACTCCTGCTTTACAAGTGAAAATAGAGCAACGGGACCGCTGAGTCTTTGACTTTATTTATTTTCTGCTGTGTTTTACTTGCATCTATTTGAAAGAGTGCGTGTAAACACAAAAAATATTTTATTTTATGTGCTGGAATGTGTAGAAAATAGGTTTAAATGACCCTTAGGAGGTCCTGGAGCCATTTTTCATCCACAGCGTTTTTTAATATTAGGCCATTTTCACTGTGTTGAATAGAATATAGGCAAACTTTCCAAACCTTTTTTTTTTAACTGTAGAATTGCAGTCTGAGTTTATTAGATTAGCTTAAAGTGGCTAAGCTACAAACCGCCATCCACATGAGGTCCTAGAGCCAAAAAACGCCCCATTGAAACCCATTATAAACGCTATTTTTCACTGCCCAATCATTACCATCAAATTAAATGTCATTTTTCCACTTTCACTCAGACTTTGAACTAGGGGCCTTAGAATTTTAATTTTTTTATTTGTCCACCAGGTGGCGCCCTTTTTTCATTTTTGAGCATTGAACCAAATAAGGCCAAAAATTCAGGTTTGGAGCGCCTCTTTCTGCTTTAAAAAATGGGAAAATGAGTGGTGTTGTGTGTCACTATCAATGACCTTTATATATTTTTTTTAAATATAAAGGTCTTTATGCCTAAAAAAAGAAAAAAAAGACAAAAACTGACTTTTTTTTCCCCAAAGTATTCAAAAGTATTTTCTCTGAGACGGCCACACTCCAATACAAACAAATGAAATATAAAAGCAAGGACCAAAACCAAATTACATTTAATTTCCCCCTTCAAACTCATATTTTAAACACAGCCACGGTTGATTTACCCCTGCCCCCGGAAGTAGTCCTTCGTGTCAGGCTACGTACGCGCATTTGAAAAGACGCACATTGAGCACAAAATGTAGCTTCTCTCATCTCAATGAGAGAAGGGTTATGTAATGGATCATGTAGTGACACCATATATCTGTCAGTGGATCATGTAGCGACACCATATATCTGCAAATTGTGAGCGAAGAGGAGACCGATGGAAACAGCCACTGGACAGACGGATAATAGCAGGGCACCCGTCTGTCGTTGCACATTTGCGCACAGCCTCCGCTGTCGGGGCTGCAAGAAACGCTGATGTTTGCGTTTGAAAAGGTGAAAAATAAGTGTCGATATTGAATTTAAAGTGTTACAAGAAAAATTAATATTTTTTTATCTTAAAACGGGACGTTGACGTCACGACTTCCTTTCTTCCGGTGTGTCTCCTTCCTGATCTGCTGCTAACGACAGCAGATCTGCTAACGACAGCAGATCACGTCTAAACGTGCCGTCACGTTGGATATAAGGTTGCAAGTGTAATCTTGGACACTTTTAAACCCGACCGAGCCAGGCCGCCTGTGAGAAGCGCTGATTTTTTTTTCATTTGAAAAGGTAAGACGTGTCTGCTCCGCGGACACGCAGCGGCATGTCCACCGCCTGGCCTGGCTCGGGGCAGCCGAGTATACTGTTCGCTTTAGTTGTGAAACAAAACGCTGAATTCGGAGAAATAAACCTTGCGAGGGGAACGATAACGACGACAAGAGTCTCCCGATCGTTTACTCTTGCTATCCTGTGAACAACATCGGCGTGGTGTTAATTGTTTGCTATTTTCGCGATCGCGTCGCGCATGAGGATATTACCAGGTAAACTCGCCACATTTTTAAACATTTTGTTGTTCAACAGCATCAACACTGACGGAGTGTGTTTGAGATAACCTCACAAGTGTCACAGATGACACATTTGGCGTTTTTTTTTTGTTTTTTGTTTTTTGCTGGTTTGTCGGTAGCAGATCCTGAAACGCAAGACGGCCACACATTGGAACCACGTGGAATCTGGCGTTCGGCTCTTTTTTTGATACATTTCAGTGCGTGTTGTACTTGTATAACTATGCATGTGACAAAACTCTTTCTTCCTATCGTGCTATGTGACCTGCCGTGCCAAATTAGATGTTGGAAAATGTTTTGGGATTATGCGCGATCTTCATGACACAAACACGTAGTGTCTTTGGCTACGTTCACACTGCAGGTCTTAATGCTCAATTCCGATTTTTTGATCAAATCCGATTTTTTTTGTCTGCTCGTTCACACTACAAATAAAATGCGACAGCAAACGCGCTCTAGTGTGAACGCTCAAAGCGGCCCGCATGCGCAAAAGAAGACGTCACACACAACGCGCTCTGTTTAGACCCAGAACAAACTATATTGTTTGACTGATGGCCCTTAATATAAAGACTTCGGACTTCATGTTTCCCAATTTTTGCTTTAAGTTATTTTGTTATCTACATAATAATGTAGATAACAAAATAATTATCCTCATTGCTGTTTTAGAGAGGAGCGATGCTTCAAAGGATAGTTGCAGATTTCTGTAAGAGTATGCAGATTATGCAGTACAAATAAAATGTTAACGTTTCTCCAACA